ATTTGTCCTACCAAAATATTCCCAAATGTGCTGCAGATAGTGAAAATGGAAATTATTCAACTTCTTTTCTGGGTGGCTATCAATCATCCGTGTTTCACCACCATACAGCAGGGTGCTGAGAACCCAAACTTTATAAGTCATCAGCTTGATCCTAAAGGTCAGTCTTAAAACATAATAGATACGTTACAGCACAACAAAATTACAAATGTAGCATTCCTCTCAAAGGCACAGCTTCCCAGCAAAATGACAATAATCAAACTGAGGTGGCTTCAATGGATCAGGGACATCCACAGTATGAAAGACAGCAGCATACCCAAATACCTTCCACACAGTGAGGCTACTGGAGCCAGCTGACGAGTTGAATGCCCAAAGCACCGCTTCAAGGATACTTGCAAGCTTGACATAATGGCCCTAAACATTGACTATTACACCTGGGAGCCAGCAGCCCTCAGAAAAATGGGAATGCCTCCTGTGTGTTAATGTGCACCACCACAACCAGTGATTGCAGCAGCTTGGCAAGAGACAATAACACTGTAAACAGGCCACAATATCACATAGCATCTTCATGTACAATTAAAGTAGAAACTGCCTTTCAAGGACTGGACTTCACAGCCATCAGCAAAAGTACACTAAGTCAAGACTCCACAACTAAATGGCTTACTGCATGTCCATCGTTTCTTGTGGATGGAAGGGTGCCAACAACAAAGGCTTAGCCAGTATTGAGATCAGTATAGCAGCTAACTTTCCGAATAGTGAATCTGTTTCTTCTATGCTTTAATTTGTTGTAGCTGTAGCTCATTTAGGTTGGTTATTTCTGTTGACTAGAGAGTGTGATGCTTACTAACATCAATGGTGCTGATGCAGTCCTCATACCCTCTGAAGTAGCTGTTGGGGCCTGCCTCTCCACTTTGCCTCATTGTGATATCGCAGTTTAGAGATGTTTGGAAATGTAAGTTTAGAAACTCTTGGACAACGAGGATGCTGTACCAAAATAAAGTTATGGCTTAGGTAATTCAGCTGATTGGTTTGAATTTAGAACTTATACATCTGCTGCAAAGCAGAATCCTGCTGTGAACCTTGCCTAACTTGAGCCAGCATGAAAACCAAACAACAGATCTGTTTCCAAAACTTTAGTGAATGCAGCAGTTGGCAGCACTGAAGATTGGCCTGGGAGATACCATAACAGGATTGAAACATTTTGAACAGACACATTAAGGATGAGGCAAAGTGAGTACCACGCTCAAAAGGGGGGAGATTAGAAAACTGGTGAAAAAGCTCTTGTGGCACAGAGGTAGCATCCCCACCTCTAGATCTGAATGTCTAGGTTCAACTTCCACCTTCAACAGAGGTGTACCATAATGTTTCTGAACTGGTTGATTAAGGAGTAAAAGAATGGAGGATACTGGTTCCATTTTGTCCTAATGATCTGACTAGTCCACGCTGTTATATAGTTCAACTGTATCATTATTGGAAACTGATTGGTCAATGGCATCAATAGTGACCAGTTCACTGCAGTATTAGGTAAAACTATTTCTCAACATTTCTAATTCACAATGATGTATCTACTTCTATCAATAGTGATATTAAAAAAAAACTTCATAGTCTCCATACTAGATGTGCGCTAAGTATAGAATGACTGCTTGGAGAAGGAAGTAATGCACTGTCTTGGGCAATCTTTCTACATTGGTACGAACACCAAAAGATATTAAATACCCCAAACTTGTATCAGTGTAAGATACCTGAATAAAAGCTGCAATCCTCATTTTTATGCAATGACCATGATGTCATAGTTTTGTTAAAACATTTCTCATGATGTAAATCATTAGGATTGTGGATTAATTCACAGAGTAACTTGCATTTTGAGGTTTTACACATACTGTCTAATCTACTGATTTGCACTTTGGCCTAACATGTTGAACTCTCACGTATCATCGTAGAGGGCACTGTACTATGCATTTTCCCATTCATTAGTTTTTTTTAATTCATTCATGGAGTGAGGGTGTTGCTGGCTAGGCAGCATTCATTGCCCATCCCTAATTGCCCAGAGGGCAGTTTAGAGTCAACCACATAGCTGTGGGTCTGGAGTCACATGTAGGCCAGACCAGGTAAGGATGGCAGTTTCCTTCCCTAATGGACATTAGTGAACCAGATGACATTTTCCTGACAATCAACAATGCATTCATGGTCATCATTAGATTCTTAATTCCAGATATTTTTTATTGATTTCAAATTCCATCATCTGCTGTGGCGGGATTCGAACCTAGGTCCCCAGAACGTTATCTGGCTCTCTGGATTAACAGTCCAGTGATAATACGACTAGGCCATTGCCTCCCCCAGATCAGCAAAAACAAATCACAAGCATTCTGGATTCCTTATCCGCCACTACTAAGGCGATACATGTATTGTATATTTGTATCCTTAGTGCATACTATTAAGTCTTTATACCTCCTAACAACCAGCTCCCTCTATGTGGTTACATGCAACTTGTTTATTCCAGCCCAACTGGAAAAAGATTCTAACAATAGCTAACTTTTAGAAGGAGCATAAACAAAGGTTGACTGAGCTGATTTCTGGAATTAAGAGGATTATCATCTGAACAGAGGGAGCAAACACTTCCTAGAATTCAGAAGAATGAGAAATGATCTAATTGAAACACAAAATTCATAAGGGGGTTTTGAAGAATATATACCGAGAGGTTTTTTGCTATGATTGGGTAGTGGAAACCAGGCATTAGTGTCTCAGAATAAGGCAATACTTTCCAGTGTGACTCCATTCTAAATTCCTTTGCACCACATGACCCCAGAGTGAAAATCTGGAGTGGTATGGATGTATAGGTGCTTATAGGGGAGTGGGATTCTTCTGTCGGGTGGAGGGGTGCTGCTGGTGATGTCAAATGTGCTGCGAAGCCTTTCAACTGCAGCAAGTTTCTTTTTAAACACTACTTTTCCAGTTTCTTTTTTGCAAGACAAATTGGGCTAAAACATCTGTCCACGAGGACATGACTGCCATTATATAAACCAATGAGGATTTAAAGAGGACTCGCAACTGTTAGCAATCAGTCTCTTTGCCACAACAGCCACTGTTCTCTCAGAGCTCGAGATTTTAAGGTCACAATTTCAGTTTAGGATGGTCTAGACTAAGAGATCAGCCGTTCGGGACTATGATGTTTCTTTTTTAATTCTTTACTCCAAGGAACTGGAATGATTAGTCATTGAGTGTAATCAAAGAAGAAAGCAGATTTTTTGACTACTTGGGAAAACAAGGTGATAGAGTAAAAAGATGGAGTTGAGCTAAGCCTTAACGTTCTTGCGTGATGCCCAAAAGGGAAGCCACACACCAGATGAGGGCTATCAGTGATTTCTAAAAGTTAAGCACAATTTACTTCCTGAGGCAGTAATTCGTAGCAAAAATATGTTTTTGAGAAACCAAACGTTGATCACTTCTCTGGTAATTCTTTCACCATCACCCAAGCGCTGGCTCATGGAATCTCCACATCAACTAAAATTAAGCTGATCTACACTAAAGCATGCTTGCCTAACACCTTGAAATAGTCATTGGCTTCATAGTGCGATTTCAAAATCCTCAGGTAAAGACTCCTATTTAGCCTCATTGAAACAGGGGATCAGTTTGGCGTGAGGTGTTAGATTGTGACTGATCTAACCACAATCTTGTTCAATGGTGGGGCAGGGTGGAGGGCTTGAATAGCCTACACCTGATCCAATTTATTCAGTAAGGTTGATCATAATAGTTACCAATTACTACACCAACAGAATTATTTGCATAATAATATAAGCATTCACAGCCATCGAAATACTTTTTGAAGTGGAGACACTGTTGTAAGGTTGGAAACACAGCAGCCAATTTGTGCACATCAAACTCCCTGAAACAGCAATGTGATAATTAAATAGTCGTTCTTTTTCTGTACTGATCAAGCAATAGATATTGGTCAGGCCACCAAGGATAAGCGCCTGCTCTTCTTTGAAATTGTGCTATGGGATCATTTACATCTATGTAGACAGGCAGACTGTGCTTTGATTCGGCATCCAAAAAGACTTATTTTCTTGTTGATACTCGAACACAAGAAACTTGTGATTCAGGAACGGGAATACCATAAACTTATGTGAATGCAGACCAGCAGTTCAGCCTCGATTGTACTGACCAAGAACGTCAGCTGGAAGGAGCAAGTCGGACCTTAAAAAAAGCTGGTCCCCGTATGGCAGCAGATAATACACTCATCCTCATCGCCATACCAAACCCGGAAGTGAAGGCAGGCCTGGGCCACGCCCACACCAGGGACATCACGGCATTTGAAGCTCTGCCTCGTGCCCAACCGCTTCCCGCGCTGTTAAACAACCCCGCCCACCAACTGCGCCCCCATTGGCTCATTTACGGAGACGAATCAGCTTCTCTATTGGTTAGGGAAGTCATCAATCATCTCTGGCCCCGCCCCCTCAGCTCCCTTCCCCCACCTCTAGTCAGGCTGCTCCGCGCTTAAAAAAAAGCGGACATCGCCTCCTTTCCCGTTCACTACATATAACTGTACTCACTACACTATAACCAACAGATATTTAGTTTCAGCACAAATGAAATCCACGCAAAAATTATAAATCTTTAAAGTTCACATCCTAACAATTATGGAATGCTTTACCTCGGGTTTGTTTCTGGCACGTCCTACGCTACATCTGACCATGATTAACCACCACAAAAATTATCACAATTTTTATAAAAAGTTCGATTTACTTCATAACTATTACAAAAAGAGAATAAAGCCTCTGTATCTTCCCGGAATTGAGTAGTTTAAAGTGATCTTTGGACTCTAACAACCGCCATTTTGTGCCTGAAAAATCTTTTGGCATCGTCATATTAATTTTTTTTATCTTTTTAATCTCTTTGGCTGAAAATTTTGGCCCGTATTTTATAATCTCCTGTCAGGAAAAAAGTGTTTTTGTTTATCGTACGAAGTTTTTTGATGATCAGAGAAGAGAGAAAAAAAGAATCACCTTTGTGGCGTAAGTTGTTGTTTGACGGGGTAACAGTCGCCAGGACTACGGTGACTATGGCGCTCGTCCTCAAGGCAACAGTTGCTAGCCTCCGGAATCAACCCAGGCAACGCAACACCGGAAGTCCGTCCCACCTCCACGCTGCTGACTGGCTGTTCACCTGAAGACCCGCCCGCCAACCTACCAGTGAGTGGTTAGATGACCGTCAGCCACTATTTACGGCATGTCGATTGGTTTAGCTCCACGTCAGTAAACGCAGACACCTTCCGCGCGATGGTGACGATGTCAACGGGTCATGGAGACGGATGGCGCATGCGGCCAGGGTGCCACGTTGCGCGGCACTGTGGGAAATGTAGTTCTTTGAAACGGACCACGCTATTCCATAATTGGACTTTTGAAAGGGCAAACCCAGCACTGAAGGCGGTACACAGAAAGCCTACAAGGATAACACCAGACGTTCATGTACACTAGACATTGCAGGAAGGGTTCGAAAGGATAATGAAATAAAAACAGAAAGTGCTTGAGAAACCCAGCAGGTCTGGGCAGCATCACTGGAGAGAGAAACAGTTAATGTTTCGAAAGCAGTACGACACTTATGAACTTTATGAAGTTCTGATACAGTCATAGAGGACTGGAAACGTTAACTCTGTATTTCTATCCCCACAGATGCTGCCACATTTGCTCCGTTTCTCCGGCACTTCTTTTTTTCATTTCAGATTTCCTTATTTCTGATGGGTTCTTTTTCATTTGAGGATTTAGGTTTTGCCAGAATAGATACAGTGAAAACATTTTCTCTTATTGGGCAGAGCATAATTGGAAGCCATCAAGAAATCCCACAGAGAATTGGGAATAAACTTTTTAGCCCAAAAAGTGGTGAGAATTATGAGCTGGGTGTGCCACACAAAGTTGAGTATACATGTCGTGATGGCCTGACTGGGCTGAATAGCTGCTTCTGTGCAGTATATCATACTCAAAGAAACATAAAATGCTTGCAGTACAAAAGGAAACCATAGGCACCATGTGTCGATGTATTTACTTCTGGTGTCTCCAGATGCTTCCACACATGGACCTCCGAGGTCTGTTCAGCGACTGGAAAGATTAGAGGGACCTCAGATCACAATCATTACAATTCTCTACAAAAGCTATTCACTAGCTCCACTCTCCTGCCCTTTTCCCATATTCTTATAATTTCTTATCCTTTCAGGTGTTTCTCCTATTCCCTTTGAAAGCCGCCATCTCCATCCCCCACATTCTCATGAAGTGCACTGCAAATCCCGACTACTTACTGTATATTTTTTTCCCCATATGTTCTCATTAGTTTTTCTGCCAATCCCCTTTTATTAATGACTTCTGGTTTTCATCTACTCTGCCAATGAGACCAGTTTCTCTCTATCTACTCTGATCAGACTCTTCATGATTTTAAACACTTTTATCAAGTGTCCTGTCAACCTTCTCTAAGGAGAACAACTTCAGCTTCTCCAATTTATTCAGATAAATCAAGTCTCTCACCCCTGGAAATAGTCTTGTGAATCATTTCAGCATCCTGTCTAAACCTTCATGTCCTTCGTTAAAAGAACTGGGCACAATATTCCAATTGAGGCTGAACTAGGTTCAAGTTCACCATAACTTCTTTGTTTTTGTACTCTATGCATCTATTTATAAAGCCTAAAATTCTGTAAGCTTTTTAACAGCTTTCCAAACATGCCAGCTCACCTTCAAAGATTTATGCATGTTTACCACCTCCTCACCCCTGTCTCTTGATTCCTGCATCTACTTTAGACTTGTACCCTTTCTTCCTCATACCTCTTTAATTTCCCACCCTCAATGGCACAAGCACGGCAGCCCGATGGTGGGGGCCACCAGCCTTAACGGCAGCCAGCAGGTCTTGGAACAGAGCCCCGGCAATGGCATGGATGGGCCGGCCAAGTGGGCCTGGGTTCGATTCCCCTCTTGGGCGACTGTCTGTGTGGAGTTTGCACATTCTCCTCATGTCTGTGTGGGTTTCCTTTGGCTTCTTCCCACAGTCCAAAGATGTGCAGGCTAGATGGATTGGCCATGCTAAATTGCCCGTGGAGTTCAGGGATGTGTAGATTAGGTGGGTTAAAGGGGGATGGGACTGGGTGGGATACTCTGAGGGTCAGTGTGGACTTGTTTGGCCAAAAGGACTGTTTCCACACTGTAGGGATTCTTCTATGAGAAAAGAGCCACTGCCCACACTGCAACATGAAGTTCAAGTCTGACAGCCAGCTCCAGAATCACGTCCAGACTATCCACGCTGAACCAACCCCTTAGAGTAACCATCACCTAAAAACGCCCAAAGGCAGCTCCCCGCAACCAGAGGAGGTAAATACACATCAGATACCCCCCAGGATGGCAGGGACGGGGTGGGGGGGCTGGTGGGCAAGCCCTTCTTTGCTGCCAGGAGCAGTGGGGTGGGCATTAGCAGCCTGGTGGTTTGGCTTTCCACCCTGGCATTCCAGATCAATTTTCTTGTATTTCCTGAACATGCAAGATAACATCTGTGTACAGAACTGGCCACTCATACTGATGGAAGGATTTGAAACAGTGGGAGAGCTCTGAGATGCAGAGGGATCTGGGTGTCCTTGCACATGAATCACAGAAGGTTAGACTGCAGGTACAGCAAGTAATCAGGAATGGTGTGGTTCATTGTGAAAGGGTATGGAATACAAGAGTAGGGAGATGGACATTGAACAGATGTTCTCCCTTGTGCGACAGTTCGAACAAGAGAGCAGAAAGATAGTGAGGAGGTAGGTTCAAAACTGAGATGTGTGATTTGGATGTGAATATATAAACATGGTTAATAAGTTTGCAGATGATACCAAAATTGGAGGTGTAGTGGACAGCGAAGAAGATTATCTCAGAGTACAATGGGACCTTGATCAGGTGGGCCAATGGGCTGAGAAGATGGAGTTTAATTTAGATAAATGTGAGGTGTTGCATTTTGGTAAGGGAAGCTTAGGGCATGACTTATACACTTAATGGTAGAGCCCTGGGTTGTTGCCGAACAAAGAGACCTGGGGGCAGGTGCATAGTTCCTAGAAAGTGGAGTCAAAGGTAGACAGGATAGTGAAGAAGGTGTTTGGTACGCTTGTTTTCATTTGTCAGTGACTTGAGTATGTGAGTTGGGAGGTCATGTTGCGGCTGTACAGGACATTGGTTAGGCCACTTTTGGAATACCGCATGCAATTCTGGTTTCCTTGCTATAGGAAGGATGTTGTGAAACTTGAAAGGATTCATAAAAGATTTACAAGGATGTTGCAGGGATTGAAGAGTTTGAGCTATAGGGAGAGGCTGAATAGGCTAGGGCTTTTTCTTCCCTGGAGCATTGGAGGCTGAGGGGTGACCTTTATAGGGTTTTATAAAATCATAATGTGCACGGATAGAGTGAATGGCCAAGGTCTTTTTACCCAGTGTAGTGAGGTCTAAACCTAGACAGCATAGGTTTAAGGTGAGAGGGGAAAGATTTAAAAGGGACCTAAGGGGCAACTTTTTCAGCCAGAGGAAGTGGTGGAGGCTGGTAGAATTACAACATTTAAAAGGCATCTGGATGGGTATATGATTAGGAAGGGTTTAGAGGAATATGGGCCAAATGCAGGCAAATGGGACTAGATTTATTGAGGATATCTGGTTGGCATGGACGAGTTGGACTGAAGGGTCTGTTTCCATGCTGTACAACTCTATGACTTTATGACTGTATAACTTTAGGTAGCAATCTTCATCATTCCAGCCTGACTATAGCAAACAGTGGTTCGCTCTAAACTATTATACCAATCTAACTTTTGTCCCTATTTTTCTATTCATACCAACACTGATTTTCATTCCATTATTAAAAGACACACCATGTAGACTTGAGATAACTTGAAGCCAAGAGAGATTGATGCTGATGATAATGGAATCGTTGGGAGAGATTGATGC